GGGGGGGCGGGGGTGGGGGGGTGGGGTGGGGTGTAGTTTGGGGAGGGGATTCGACAGCAATTTGATTATAGGTTCTTATTTTTCTTCTTATTTGAGCAATGAGCTGATGAAAATTTCTAAGCTTTCAATTTAATAACGTTTGACATTCAATTGAAAATATTAATGGACAACGGCTTAGCTCTAACTCTTACGTCTTTTGAGTTTTTGTAGATTTTTTGGAGCGAAAGAGAGTTGGAGATGATTCGTAAGATCTCTTTGTTCGAGGAATCACTTAATCAAAGATCACAAATTGAAAGGGAGTTTTTGGCAATCAAGCAAGTTAGTGCTTTGCTTCAGCTAATAATTTTTGTATAGCTTGGAATTTTATTACCGGATTGCAATTCTGATTTGCTGTTGGGATGTTATATTCAAGGTATTTGTTAACTAGTTCAATAATAATTAACTTTCAATTAACTACGAACTTGATAAACTTTTTAGTCTATCCTGATAAAACCAAGTATATCATATCATTTCATTAATAAGTTCTTTATACTATGGCATGAAATTTGTTGGTGGATTTTAAGGTACAAAATTGGAAAATGGCAACCTAGTCTAGGAACTTCGTTATTATATGACATGTTGAAAACAAAAGAAGGCTGTAAATATTTTTCCTATTGCATACAAAAGAGCCTTTTATTAGACCATGTTGTTAACTATATTTACTCCCCAATGTTATTTCAGGCTCTGGAAACCTTCCCTGAAATTATTGATAGCATCAATTTCGATGATTTCATGCATGCTTATGCTCTTGGTATGTTAATTCTGTTGAGAAGGAAGTTATCTCAGTGGTGATGTCTTCCTTTTTTAATGCCCCCTTTTAGTGTAGCTAAACAGTTTGGGATACTATTAGTATGCAATTCTTTTCAAAAGAATTATTACGACTTTTCACTGTTTTTCTGTTGACTTTCACAGTTACTTCTAGAGCATGGAGAAGCACAAAGGGTGACTCTCTGGTATTCTTTTGTTCGACGACATGACATTTCTTTTCTATTCTATATAGTACATCTAAAGTTTTTATTTAGTTGCATATGTTCTTAGTGAGCTCTAGCAATTTTTGTACTACAAAAAGGAACTTACTGCAATTGAAATTGTAATTTAATATGTTTGACAGATTCCATTTGCAGATTTTTTAAATCATGATGGTGCATCAAAATCACTGGTATTGAATGATGATGACAAACAGCTCTCTGAGGTCCCCTTCTCCCTCTCTTGCTATATATATATATCTATATATATATATATATCCTGTTTTCCGGAAGATGAGAGATTGTAACTTGAGATATACTACATTTGTGGAAGTTGTACACTTGAGATATGCTCTGGCTTTGTAACAACCTCTGTCTTCAAGCCAACAATTCCTTTTGTAATAGATATCATTAGTTTGTTTTATTGGTTACTTATTATAGTTTTTTTCCCAACTAAATTCCTTCTGACTTTCAAGTATCGGAATTTCTGTCTAGGTCATTGCTGATCGTGATTATGCCCCTGGAGAACATGTAAGTTTTCGTTTTTATTTTCAGCTTCAAATAAATATCAACCTCATCAATGGATCCAGAGTCCAAAGGCTAGTCCAAGCCCAACCCAAGCTCGACCCAAAGTCAAAGTTTGACCAGTCTAGTCCAACCTAGCTCATTTATTCATTTGATTGGATATGGATCACCATTTTGAAAATTGAGCCGGCCTTGAGCTAGATTTGGTTCGGCTCGTTGTGCCGGTCCAATAGACTTATTATTGAGCCAACCGAACTATGTATGAGCATATATATATAGTTTTCATATATTAAAAAGAGTAGATCTTTCAATATTTTTAAAATATATTTTCTATAATTTAGATATCAGAGTTTTTAGTTAATATGAAGATTTTTAAGTGTTAATAACCGATATAAGGAATTTTAAAAAATAAAATAATAAATGAAACTTCATAATATCAATAATTTTATTAGATAAAAGTAATAAAAATTCCAAAATTTTAAAATAAGCTAAATTTTGACATGCACTAGCTTATCATTGTTAATTACATGTATTTGTGAAATCTACATGCACTGGAGAAGTTGGAAACATGGATCTACAAATTTCTTTTGTTGAAAGTTTCTGTTTGAGCTCTAATTGTCAATTCATTGTTTGCATATTGTTTTTGGTTCTATATGATTCATACATGACACACATGTTACATGCTTTACTGACTTTTGTGCTTCGATTTTATGGAATTGCAAACCAGAATGATATATTCCTTGTTGATATACTACTTTTGACTTTGTTGATCTGCAATTCACTTGTGCTATCGTACAGGTGCTAATAAGATACGGAAAATACTCAAATGCTACGTTGATGTTGGACTTTGGGTTTGCACTTCCCTACAACATTCACGATCAGGTTTGTATGGCAATTTAGATAGAAGGAAGCTACCAATGCAATGGAGAAAT